AGCAGGTGGGGCAAAGATGGCTGCTGTCCCCAGTACCCATCCTACTGCCCTGCCCCCAGTACTAGGAGACCTCTGGGCTTTATCTGGACACACAGCTGCCCAGGACAGAGGCTTCGTCTCCCCGCCTCTCTTGCAGCTGCTGGGTTTAAGTTCTGACGGGTGGAAAGTGCGTGGGAGCTGTGTGGGCATCCCTGGCGTCCTGCCATACAGGGTAGGGCACGCCTCACCTTCCCCCTTCCGGCGGCCTAGAATGCAGACATGGTGGTGAGCCACTCTGAACCATGTGGACCGGGCAGCGTCTTAGGGACTGCAGAGTAGCAAGAAAGGAGCCCGGGCCCCCTCCAACTTCTCCGGATGATGTCATTTGGAGTCTGTGTCACACACAGCCAAACTCTAATCCTAGCTTATAAAGGAGGTCCCGGCTGGGGTTCAGGAAGTTTCGATGAGCTCCCAAGGGATTTCACAATAGCTGTGAGAGTCTCTGCTCTCATCCAACCTCCCGGCCTCGCGTGGGCGCTGCCTGAGCACTGGCTTTCCTCCTTCTATATCCCCAACAGGTAGAGAGCAGAGCTGGAGAAGCCGGATGAGAAGTGCGAGCTGGGCTCATGGTGGAGGTGGGCAAGGAGGTGAGATTGACGGGGCAGGATGGGACACAGAAGGGGTGAGAGCACGCGAGAAGCCATCTGAACTGGAGTGCCTCGCATCAGACACAGAAGCAGCCACAGTTAGGTGACTGTTGAGGGACTGGTCTTGAGACCTGCATGACCACAGACAAGCACGGGAGAGAAGGTGGTCCAAGGGGAAATGACTAGAGATGTCTCCAGGGTCACAAAGCACTTTGAAAACTTCAGTGCGGGACCACTGAGCGTCAGTCCAGTGGTCACAGCGAGGGAGATGCCCCTCTCATCATGCAGGGGTCACCGAGAAGGGAAACTAGCACAGGTCCCCCGGCCAGCTGGGCCCTCTCCCTGGTGCGGGCCGGTGGGCCCTCGGGAGTCCGGGCGCAGGCACTCACTGTAGAAGGTGGTCAGGGCCACAGGAGGCTGGCTGCTGAAGTCATAGGGCTCATAGTCTGAGTCCGAGCTGGAGTTCGAGTCTTCGGGGGGCGGAGCCTGGACCTGGATGGGCAGCTTGGGAACTGGGGAGAGAACAGAGTGGGGAGCGTGGCAAGGCAGGGGGCAGAAAGCTGCAGAGAGAGGCGGCAGAGAGCGCGGACCGTGGGGACCGGAGACAGAGGGGCAGGGAGTGCGCCAGGCAGCCCATCTCGTACAAGACCGTCGGGCCTGGGTTTTCCAAGCTCCCCCGCATCCACTTCAAACACGGGGAACTAAATAACATTTATTTACTTAACAAACACATAGTAGTCCCTGCAGGCCAGGCACTATTCCAACATTTATAAATATTATCTCAGTTAATGCTCATAAGAACTCTGTGAGGTAGCTAGGTCAGTGTCCCCATTTTGTAGCTGGGGAAACTGAGGCACAGAGAGATTCTCACATTGCCTAGAGAAGCAGGCCATGTGGCTCTTAACCTCTAGACCATAATGTTCAGTGAGTGGCTGCTCTGTGCCTACTCTTGTGCTAGGTCTGTGTTCATACTCTCTTCTCAAATATCTGGACATCCTGTGCGCAAAGAATCTTTATAACATATGGCTGAGTTTTGCATTGGTTTTTGTGTCACTGAACTCTTTCAAATAAAGGCGATTTGATATATTCATAATGCAGTGTGATTAAACTCAAACTTCGTCACAAGACTCTCAAGAGGTAATGCATTGATGTATCATTAAAGGTGGATGACTGATCCCATTTTTTTTGACTCGGAAAATATGAAATGAAATTATGTTCCAGGAAGATCTTGATGGGGCTTTGCAGGGAGGCTGACTGGGCAGACCATTGGAAGAGGCAATGATGTTACAAACCTACTGGCCAATTAGCAGAACAGAGCTTTCCTTTGAGAACCAAGGTCCAAAATGCCCTGGGCCTGTTTTGGTCCAGAATTCAAAAGCTTAGAGCTCTAGAATGAGTGCACTGGAAAGTCATGAGCCTATCAAGGCCCAGACTGAGGCTGAACCTGCTCAAGGTCCCACAGCCACTCGTGGGCTGGCCCAGGTCTCATCTCCAGCTGGGGCACTGCTTTGACCTAAGCAGTACTGACCCTCCGGAAAATATCCCCTTCTTGTCCTCCCCCGCCCTCCTCATCCCCAGGGTGGGTGACATCCTACTTTCTTCTTTGGCGATGGTGATGGGAACCTCTTGATAGCTTGTGGTCCCCGCTGGGGTGGTGGTGGGTAGGTGCTGGTGGTTCACCATAGCGGGGAGGGCTGAGGAAGGGGAGGCAGAGATCCTGCAAGTCATTTTTTGCACCTTCCAGTCTTCCTGCCTCTGCTCTCATGGGGACACCTCCCTCCTCACCTCCCCCATCCCCAAACGCCCTCAAACACACACACACACACACACACACACACACACACACAATCTGGTCCTCCTGTGGACAACTTCTGGGGGGCATACTGGGAAAATCCTTCCCATCAGGAGGTGCTTCTTGGGGCCAGGGCTGGGTGGTCATTGCTGGATCACTGCCATTCCTGC